CAGCACGCATGCCCCCTGTAGCATAGACAGCCCTTCTGTGTGAGAGGACAGGCAGCACAATGGCAAGGAGCAGAAAACAAAGCAGAAAACCAAGCAGGGTAAGGTGAAAAGTGGCTGTTGAGGAGAGTGGCTACCAAAAATTGTTGGCCTACCACTGTTGTTCAGCTGTGGCTATTCTTTCCATTCTCCTGCAGACTCTGCTCCTACAGCAGTCTGAGAATTATTCTACTATAATCCATTAAATACCTATGACTGAAGCCAAGCTGGGCCTACTCACAAACATTAAAATTCAAAATATTGATGACAAGTGCATAAAGCAAGAGGATGCAAGTTTACAAGGAACAATGGGCACAAATTATTAGAGAGTAGGTTTAGATTAGACATCCGCAAGAACTACTTCCCAGTTAGGGCAGCTAGGAGCTGGAACCAACTTCCTAGGGAAGCGGTGCTGGCTCCTACCCTGGGGATCTTTAAGAAGAGGCTTGATGACTACCTGGCTGGACTCATTTGAGTCCAGTCTTTTCTCCCGCCCAGGCTGGGGGTCGGACTTGAAGATCTACAAGGTCCCTTCCGACCCTACTTCTATGATTCTATGATACAGCTAGACCTTATGAAATGAAATATAAGCAAGTAAGTCTGTGGAGGGAGGGGAAAGGGCCATGGCCCCACTCACCCCAGCACCAGCTGCAGCGGCCCCAGGAGTGGCCAGTGCCAGCTGGCTGCAGCTGCTGGGCTGCACTGTGCTCCACCTGTCCCCCTGTGGCTGGGCTCACCCCAGCTCCTGGGCTGCACCGTGCCATGATGCAGGCAGCTGATGTTGGCTGCTCCCATACAGGCTGGGGTGAGTGCAGATAAGCAGAAGCTCAGGTGGCACAGGGCATAGCACTCACCCCAGCCCCAGCTGCAGCAGCCCCGGGAGCAGCTGACACCAGCTGCCTGCACCAGGGCACAGCACAGACCAGGAGCAGAGGTAAGTGAAGATGAGCAGAGCACAGTGCAGCCCAGTCTGCAGGCAGCTAGCGCCAGCTGCTCTCAGGGCTAATGCTGACGCTGGGGTGAGTGCCGCTTTGTGCCCTCTGCTTTGCTGCCTTGTGCCACCCTGGGAGCAGCACCCCTCCCCTAGTCCCAACCCATTCCTACTTGCTCCACTGTCAAGTGGGTTTGCTTTATGCAAATTCAATTTATGTGCCGTTCTCCAGGAACACATGAAGCATAAAATCGAGGGAAACCTGTATAAGGTGAAACAGGAGTTTCCAGCTGGCAGCTGTGAAACATCAGCTGGCAAAGCCAAGGCTCAGGATCAGCTAGGAGGCAAGAACAAGAGCTCATGGGGATGGCTAGGATGGTCCTGGGCATGACCTAAAACTACACCCTGCCAGGGATGGGTGGCCTGGTGGGGCTCCTTGTGGTGTGGAGCCCCCAGGAAATGCCAGGCCAGTTACCATGCTGGTGAAAGGTGGGTCGGGGTGCCTTAATAACCCCAGCTCCCACAACCGTGTGGATAACTCCATAGTAGGGCCAGGAAAGTGGACCCTTGTGAGAGAGTGGGCTAGATGCTCAGAAGCCCGACTTGAGGCACCCTCAACTGGTCAATACTAGGGCCAAGGCCAGGGCCAGAAGACCCAGGGTCAAAAGACCCAGGGACTGACTGCAGGGGACACCCAGAGCAAAGGGCTTGGGGGTTCTGGCTGGCCTTGGAGGTGAGGCCAGGGCCTGTGTGGCCAAAGGTTCTGGGGGGGCCACACCTGAGGGGGAAGAGTGCAGGGAGCTAGACAGCCCAGAATGAGGGCAGAGTAGGGCACCTGATAGGAGGGATCCAGTTGGGGTCCAGACTGGAGGGTTATGGGGCCCAGTGTGGGGCCAGAGACATCAAGAACTTAGATGCTATCTGCAAGGAATGGGCTGCAGTGTAGGGGAGGCTTCAGAGCTGCAGATAACGCCCTCTGGCATCAGGGCAGGAAATGGGCAGCCTCCCCCCCCCCC